ATTTGATAGTGTGTGTGTCCCTTTACCTAAGATTAAAGTGTCTGTTGGCAGCCTGTCTCCACCAGCTACAGCTCTTGCTGCGTGTCAGTAACAGCTCCTTCCACTTGCCTCCTTAATTCTAGAAGTGGTAATGGCTTCTCACTGTTGCTAGTCACTTACTGTTGCTCAGGATTTTATCTTTATTTTTTAAGAAATGGAGTCATTTTGCTTTGTCGAGGCTGGAGTGCAGTGGTGTGATCATAGTTCATTGCAGCTTTTAACTCCTGGACTCAGACAATCCTCCTGCCTCAGCCTTCTGAGTAGCTGGAACTACAGGCATGCACTACCACATGCAGATTACACAGGGTTTTTTTTTTTTTTTTTTTTTAATTTTTTATTGGATTATAGGTTTTGGGGTACATGAGCAGAGCATGCAAGACAGTTGCGTAGGTACACACATGGCAGTGTGCTTTGCTTTTCTTCTCCCCTTCACCCACATTTGGCATTTCTCCCCAGGCTATCCCTCCCCACCTCCCCCTCCCACTGGCCCTCCCCTTTTCCCCCCAATAGACCCCAGTGTTTAGTACTCCCCTTTCCGTGTCCATGTGTTCTCATTTTTCATCACCCACCTATGAGTGAGAATATGCGGTGTTTCATTTTCTGTTCTTGTGTCAGTTTGCTCAGGATGATGTTCTCCAGATTCATCCATGTCCCTACAAACGACACGAACTCATCATTTCTGATTGCTGCATAATATTCCATGGTGTATATGTGCCACATTTTTCCAATCCAGTCTGTTATCAGTGGGCATTTGGGTTGATTCCAGGTCTTTGCTATTGTAAACAGTGCTGCAATGAACATTCGTGTACATGTGTCCTTATAGTAGAACGATTTATATTCTTTTGGATATATACCCAGTAATGGGATTGCTGGGTCAAATGGAATTTCTATTTCTAAGGCCTTGAGGAATCGCCACACTGTCTTCCACAATGGTTGAACTAATTTACACTCCCACCAACAGTGTAAAAGTGTTCCTTTTTCTCCACATCCTCTCCAGCATCTGTTGTCTCCAGATTTTTTAATGATCGCCATTCTAACTGGCGTGAGATGGTATCTCAATGTGGTTTTGATTTGCATCTCTCTGATGACCAGTGACGATGAGCATTTTTTCATATGATTGTTGGCCTCATATATGTCTTCTTTCGTAAAGTATCTGTTCATATCCTTTGCCCACTTTTGAATGGGCTTGTTTTTTTTTTTTTCTGTAAATCTGCTTGAGTTCTTTGTAAATTCTGGATATCAGCCCTTTGTCAGATGGGTAGACTGCGAAAATTTTTTCCCATTCTGTTGGTTGCTGATCCACTCTAGTGACTGTTTCTTTTGCCGTGCAGAAGCTGTGGAGTTTCATTAGGTCCCATTTGTCTATTTTGGCTTTTGTTGCCAATGCTTTTGGTGTTTTGTTCATGAAGTCCTTGCCTACTCCTATGTCCTGGATAGTTTTGCCTAGATTTCCTTCTAGGGTTTTTATGGTGCCAGGTCTTATGTTTAAGTCTTTAATCCATCTGGAGTTAATTTTAGTGTAAGGTACACAGGGTTTTTAACCACTCCTGTTGGTTCCCTCAACCCTACCCATACAATAGTCCTTTCGTTCAAGTCTCTTCAATTACTCCTTTGAGTGTGTCATCTTTTCCTGCTGCAAAAAGGTTAAAATAGCCAGGTAGATGAGATATAAACATAGCCACAAGCTGAGAATGGGTCAACTTTTTGGAGATAGGGTCGTTAAAGGGTAATAAATGTAAAATTATGCATTTTACCTAATCTGATGTCTTTATAATGAGAGAACAGGACCAGGGGTGCCAACACACAAAAAAAGACGATCTGAGGACACAGTGAGAAGATGGCTATCTACAAGTCAAGAGAACTCAGAAGAAAGTAAACCAACACAGCCTTGATGCTTGACTTCTAGCCACCTGACCTGTGATAAATTCATAGTATGAGGACTACATAAGAATATATGCTATACTGAACAGTAACCGTTCAGTATCTTTATAAGAACACAGTGAAACTCACAGACCTAGGTTTAGAACTGCCTCCTGACTTCTTGTGGCCTACTCTTTCCATGCTTTGGGTTATTGTTCTGACATTTTCAAGTCCTTAATTCCCAACATACTTGAGTTTCCAAGGTCTCCCATCTTTGTTCCCATCTCTCAACTCTTTACTCTGCCTTTGTGACAGCTAGCCTCTCAGATGGCTCCCAGCGATCCTTACTTCCTGGTATTCATACCCTTGCAAGTTTCCTTCCACAGTGGTTTAAGGAGTGGACTGTACAACCCATTAGCGCACAGCTGAGATGACAGTGTGTGACCTCCAAGCCTAGGCCATTTGTTTGGTCTCTGGGATCACTAGCTTTGGGGAAAGCCAGCCCCCATGCCACAAGGATACTCAAGCAGCTCTGTGAAGCAGTCACCTGAAGAAGAGAGTCTCCCAGCAAGAGGCAGCACCAACTTGCCAGCCATGTGAGTAAACCACTTAAGGTAGATTCTTCAGCTTTAAATAACTAATCTCAGCTGATTTGACTGTAATTTCTGTAGAAACACTGGGTCAGAACTGTTCGGCCAAGACATTCCTGAATTTCTGACCATGGAAACTATGAGACAGAAAAAGTCACTACATTCTGGTTACACGGCATTGGATAACCAATACAATATTTCATAACCCTCCACCCAATACATAGTTCTCTATATCCTGCTTTTGTCGTTTTCCTTACCTCTTCTCATGAAAAAAACAACAGCAAGCTAATGTTCTTGCAAATCCTCCAATGTCCAGCTCAGTCTCCATCTTTATGGTTTTCTTGACTGCAGAACTTTGTCTCTTTGTTGTAGCTCACAGTTGGTACCTCAGAAATAATCACTTACTGTCCTGTATTATTTCACACATATTAATTTGTAAAGATAAAGATGAGGTATATTTCTTTCATGTTTCCCATAGTGCCTTGAATAATTCAACATGTGTAGCAGCTACCTTAGTGAAATGGCTAAATTGTTAATAAGCGACCATCAAGTAGAATCAAAATCTGGGACGATAGTATCTTCTTAGTCTGACTTCCAAAATTACTGTTTTGTCTAAGGATTGGAATAAGCAACTTTCAAATGCATTAACAAGGCTGATTAAAAAATAGCTTTGGGGTACGTAGGGTAATATGTTTTACATACAAAATGGAAATTTAAAGCAGGAAAAACTAAATAAATGTGTAAGGTCATAGCATGTGACAAGGGTGAAGAGGTGAAGATTACGGCCCAGTGTTACAAATGAAATTCTGTCCTTAATAGTATCCTGTACCCTATGCAACAAGAATCCAATCATCTGTGTTCTTAGAATACTGTTTTCCATCATTGGAGATGTTGATTTAATGATCCCTAGAAGACAAAAAGTTATGGCCAGCAGAAGTGGAAACATGGTTCACTGTCTGTAAATGGTAAACTTTTGGAGCAGACTGCCAATACATTGCAAATTAAACTTCAAAATTATTGCTTGGTGTGAGAGGCACTCAGATTAATGACTCAATATGTGTATCAGTCATGGTTCTCCAGAAAAACAGAACCAATAAGATATACGTGTGTTTGAAGATATATATTTATGTACACACACACACACACACACACACACACACACGGGGAGACAGAGACGGGGTAGAAAGAGACAGAGAGAGAGAGTTTTAAGAAGGGCTCCAGGATTGTAAGAACTGACAAGTCTGAAATTGGTAGTGTAGGCCAGCAGGTAAGAGGTGATGATGCAGTATTCAGTTCAAAATCTACAAGGCAGGTGTTTGACCAAACACATGGGCGCCATAGCTTCACCAATTTGACACATAAAATTAACCATGAGAATATCACATCTGATAAAGTGGGCTTTTTAGGGTATTCTTTGATTTTAATTTAAAAATTTTCTATACCACTGTATGTCCCTGCACTCCCCACCCTCAGTACTCCAGATGTTCCAAGCACCGCATGGAACACAAAATCAGAGGAGACATGTTAAGAGTTAATCACCAACAATAACCATAATAGTAATAAAATCTTTTCTAACGAAGTATAGAAACATATTAGAAACTTAATTTTCTGTAGGTGTTCCTTTATTTCACAAAAAATAGTTATTTTGTATAATTTTAAATCAGGAAATCTAAGAAGACATGTTACCCAATCACAAGTTAATAAAATGCCTCCCATTACAGACCCAACTTTTTAAATACTCAATAACATTCACAAAATTGACAAGTTATTCTCCATAAAATTCTAACAAAAACTGCAACTCAAAAAGTGTGTCTATATCAGAGATGGTGGTAACTTCCTCAAAGAAGTTACATGCAAATACCCAGGAGTCTCATGGTTTACAAGGTGCCAGACACATGAGAAAATAATCTCAAGGAAGATAGCCTCACAGTACCCAAACTTCCCAAATATGATTTAGTGACAGAGTTGCAAGTGGACTGGGTGGGCTAAGTGAACCAAAGGGCTGGCTTACAGCAATTGTTAGGATTTTATAAAGTACTGGAGATGTTTGAAACTCGCATAGCAATGAAAAGGCTCAGCATGTTAATAAACAGAATCATTTCCCAAGCCACATTTTATGTATAAAACCTAGTTTCTGAAGATAAACGTTGCATGCGGGCTCTTATTTATTTAGACTTTTACTCAATAAAATGCTGGCAGCACTGGCTGGCTGGAGGAGTAACAGGGAACGTGCATGTGGCAACAGTTTATCCAGGAAGCTTTTCCTGTTAGTTAGAGAGGATCATGACTTGTATTTCAACATGACTTGTATTTCAACACGACTTAGCAAGATCTTTGTTGCAGAAAATGAGTGACATATAGAAGTGGGACCAGGAAGCACAGTTAATGGCAGAATTAGGTTTTTGATGCAGATAAAGACTCTAAGGAAGGGTTGGAAATATAAATTTTTATGTTGTTATTAGTTCGCAATCTTAGTATCCAAATTGTCTATTTAAGGTCTGGAAACCAAACTGTTTGAAAAGTTTTATTTGGTAGCAGAAAAGATCTACAATGGGACTTTTACAAAGATGATGAGCAAGAGGAGAGAAATAAATTTATACAAATGATTTTGTTGTCAAAATTTGGGATGACCATCAGCAATCAAGAACTTACATAAAACCACCTTTTTAGGTAAAGGAAGTAAAAACTATGTTAATACCTTGACCAGTCAGTTTGCTGAAATTCTGTTAACAGATATTACACTGAACCGGAAGAAAATTAAGTCTATAGAAGACAAACCAAATCATACTTAACTGTAGTAATGCATAAATTATTTAGACAGAGTGAAAACAACCATCTCCATAACCTGACAATTGATTTCTATCAAATCAAGTCCATGATGTCTACAATATTTATTTATACCACGGCTTTTCATCTCCTAGTTGTTTTTAAAATTATATATATATATATAAACATGTATGTAACATCAGTTGTTATTGACAGTAGTTATCATAGAATGTATATCTTTCTCACTATGTGTATCCACTTGATTTGTTCATATGTCTAATCCCTGTCATGGACCTGATTGCTTACCTGACAGTGGAGGACAAGACCTATCAGAATGACCCGAAGACAGAAATAGGAAGGATCAGCTCACCTCAGCATTATTAAAAGGCCAAAGGCTCTGTAGTCAAAGTACTAACACCAACACTTTTAACGAGCCAAAAAAGAGGCACTAGGGGTGTTTGCGAACACGCAAGAATTATGATCAGTATCTACAGCATAGTGTGTAGGCATAGTTAATATTTACCCAAATACAAAAATACCGTTTTCTCTAAAGGGAGAAGCAGACAACTTCCCATAAGTAGAAAAACACTGGTGTTCAATTTCTGGTTTAAATGCATTTATGAAGGAAGACTGTAATCCCTATTAATTAAATATAAAAGAGTCCAGCAGAAATTATGACCTTAATGTACAAGTATAGTGATATTTCTGTATCAAATTAAATTTAGTCTATGATTAAATACAATGCTATATATACACACACACATACATACACACTCATAGTACCTTTACGGAATTCTCTAAAATGCTCACAGTAACTTAGATGGTATTGATAATGATAAAGATGTATAAACTGAAGTGTAGATGTAGAAAATCTTTTACAGCTTACTAAATGATACCTTCCATGGGTTAAACAGCTTTTTCAAGTTTGAATTTTAAGTTTTGAAAGCAGAACTGTGCTTTGGTATTCAAACCTTCATAAAATCTTACAATTTTTCAAAATAAGGAATTAAGGTAAAGAACTCTAAAGTGGAAGAAAAAGACTTCCAACTATAACATCATAACTGTCACATGGTTAACCAGTGGTTTTTAGCCCACTCCTGGCCAAAGTCTAGCTGCTTGGAGGTGAGTAAAATGGTTTGATTCAAATTTAGTTTTTATATGTGTATATTTTAAAACTTAATAAAAATGCTCATTCTAATGTGTCTCATACCCTACTTTACCACACTGGAGACTGCTTATGTATTAACTCTCACTACCAGGATAGTTTATCTTTGTATAGACCTTGAATAAATTTAGCTATCTCTAACTAAACATTTCCTGAGATATATGTTTAAAAACCATTATTTTTGCTTACATATGTATGACTCAAAATTTTCTTGATCGTATACAAATAAAGGCATAGCTATAAATTGGCTGCTGTTTTCATCAACCATGTATAACTCTACATTTGTGTTATTCAGAAATAATTCAGAATCTTATGCTTAGTAAGGAGCCAAAATGAATAAACACAAATGTGAACTCAAAATACATTTATATTGATAAGATGGACTTTTCAGGCTATATATATTGGGATTACACATAAAATTTCATTTAAAAAAAGATTCTAGTGCTAAAAATGTTTGGAAAACACTGCTCTATAAAAAACTTTTAATTCTCTAATACAATGTTCAATGTGATTTAGTTTTCTAAAGCAAACTGCCTAATACCTCCCTGTTCTTATTCAGAATGGGACATTTTCTGAAAATCAGAGTGCCACAAATCTTCAAATATGGTAACTTGTAAAAAGTTAATCATAAATTAGACTAAAAACATTCATAAGTGCTTTAGACCCTTCTGATAAACAGCTGTAAAGATTTTTTATTTTTAAATCGTGTATTTATTATTGTTTTAAAATCTTAAATATATTAATCCTCCAAGTAACAGAATTTAGTATCTTTACACATTAGCTGTATTGTGTGTTTTGATAGTGTAGGCACATTTCAGTGATTTTAGATTTTATTTTGTGGTTTCATTATAAAACAGCTTGCACACCAAACTCAATCAATCTTTTTTATTTAAAAATTCACCTAAAAATTCACTTCTGGGTTTTAGTTTCTGTTTAAAAAGAAGCAAACGTTTAAAGCCATCAAATGTTAATAGTCTACAATTCATCTTGTTATGAACATTTTTAGTTTGTGGATTGCGAAAATAAACCCATTACATTGATTAGGCACAGTATTATGGCCAATGGGCGAGAAATCAGGGCACATCTATGTATTCAGACAACAGTTAAAGGTCTGAATGGAGGGAGTCATGCCTCAAATGTGGACTCTCCTTTCTCTATGCCCCCTCCAAATATTGTTACAAGTTTCAAATCAGTACGTGAGATTGTATGTAACTTGGCGAAAAGACAAACAACTATACCTGTTTTCTAAATTATGTTGCAAAGCCAAGACAGATGAATATAATTGTAGCCTCACTATAACTTGTGGTCTTAATATCTATGTCACAGGACCATGTCATAGGTGAGACAGAATTATACCATCCCTCTGGTGGTTTCAGAAATCTAGCTGGAAGGAGTCCATGACTATAAAATTTCACATTACAGCAAGGCTCCAATATTTCTTGAATTGGGTCAGTGAATATAAATCACAGTACAAAATCCCTAATTCTTTTAGTGGAAAAGCAACAGGTGCTACATATAAGAATCTTATATAACATATATATTTTTTTTAAAAATGCAGATATAAAATATTAATTGCATAGGGATTTAAATATAAGGCCAAGAAGAATATTAAGTAAAAAAATCATAGAAAGGGCACTATGGTGTCAAAAGATAGAATTTCATAGAGTAACAAATCTAAATTACTGTCTAATTAAAAATCACAGTATGTTGCTATAACTAACAGTGAACGTCAACTGCTTTATTAATTCCAAACTGAAAACCAATATTAGGACTAACAAGAACACAACCAAAGCTCATCGTCTAAACCTGATCAGTGTATTAGCACATCACTGCCTGGTACGTACCTGATTAGTTATATAATCTACCTTCTGCAAACAACATTTAATACATGTTAACAAGTATAAGAGCACATCATCACTGCATGCCATCAATGATTTGCAGGCTTACTTGATAGTGTAATTATTAAGTCTTTCAAAGGTGCAAGATCCTACCCGGCAGAATCTTCACTCAATGAACCAACAATGCTGTAATTCACAAAATATAACAAAGTTCCACCATTAAAAACTAAATGTACAATAACCAGAGAACTAGGTCCTGACACCGGTACATACTTTATCCTCAGCATTTTGGAAGACAATAAATGATGAGTCCAAGTATAACTAATGGTTATCACCTGAAGCTTCAGGTTGAAGGCTAACTTGTGAAGCTACCTCTCATTTTAATGTTGCTAGACTGCAGTTTAAACAGCAATTTCCACATCTAAAAGTAGCTTAGTTAACTTAGTATTGTTATATAAAGTAGTGTGACAACAAACAAGAATTCCCAATGGAATTATGTTAAGATACATTGGGAATACCCCAAACAATGTTTTAGATGAAAAAGTGCATAAATACAGTAATACTATGAGTGTGTTAACCATGGAACAAATGTTTCTCTGGGAGCTAAACAATACTATTTTCCCACATTATTTACATGTTATGAATTGTTCAGATACCACAAAGCACCACTTAAGTCTAAATTGCTTGATTATGTCAGAAAGGTCCTTTGACTTCAACTCTACTCATTCGAGAATCTGCCTAGAGTAGAAGTGTCAAGTCATTCTTCAAAACGGATTTATCTTTAACAATTCAGTTCTCTTTTGTTCAGAAATGGCAAGGCAGTATTTTCATTTCACACTCTTTGTTGGTGTTTCTGATTCTGTGGACTGTCTTCCATCTGTCCAGGCTTCCCGGGTACTCTTGAGAGCCAAGGTCTTCTGTTGGTCAACAACAACATAATCCACTCTCTCATCTGCTACACTGCTGCCTGAGCCACTGGTCTTTTGCTAAAACACAAAGAAAAAAAAAAGTCCAACATATAAAGGAGTGTTTCTGAGTAAAAGTCAGTCTTAAAACACAGACACACATGCATTGTGAATACTTTTTTTTTTCTTTTTGAGAACGAGTTTCCCTCTCGTTGCCCAGGCTAGAGTGCAATGGTGCAATCTCAGCTCACTGCAACCTCTGTCTCCTGGGTTCAAGCAATTCTCCTAGCCTCCCGAATAGCAGGGATTACAGGCATGTACCACCACACCTGGCTAATTTGTATTTTCAGTAGAGACAGGGTTTCACCATGTTGGTCAGGCTGGTGTGAAACTCCTGACCTCAGGTGATCTGCCCGCCTTGGCCTCCCCAAGTGTTGGGATTACAGGCATGAGCCACCATGCCTCGCCATGAATACTCTTAAAATTTTTCTGGGTCACACACAAAAAATAACATCAACTACCTAAACTTAAAAATGTCTTTCTCCTAACTGTATACTAATTGCCTTATTAAATTTATAAAATTTAACATTAAATTATATAACTAATTTGCCTTAAATTTAAAATTATTTTATTTAGGAATTCAGACTAGGCTGAGTGCAGTGTCTCACGCCTGTAATTCCAGCACTTTGGGAGGCCAAGATGACTGGATCACGAGGTCAGGAGTTCAAGATAGCCTGGCCAAGATGCTGAAACCCCATCTCTACTAAAAATACAAAAATGTTCTGGGCATGGTGGCACATGGTTGTAATCCCAGCTACTCAAGAGGCTGAGGCAGGAGAACTGCTTGAACCTGGGCAACAGAGGTTGTAGTGAGCCGAGATCATGCCACTGCACTCCAGTCTGAGCGACAGAGTGAGACTCCATCTCAAAAAAAAAAAAAAAGAATTCAAACTAATGCTTCCATTGCAGATGAAATTCATATAAAATAGGGACAGCAGATGCCTGTTTTATCTTAACATAGACAGCTTGATTCTCCTGTCAACTTAAGTTTGACTTTCTCTCAAGCTCTGAGAGCACGAATCAATGTTTACTTTGAGAGCACAAGAAATTTTTTTTTTGAAAAGCAATACCTCAAGAATGACAAACTACATGGCCAATGTCCTCTTATTCCTAAAATTCAAAGAGAGATAAATACTTAAATAAAATTATCAATGCAATGCTGTGCTCACGAGAAAGTGAAATGTCTAAGGTATAAGAAAAGCAGAGGGAGTGGTGAGCTTCTAAATGCCAAAGGCAGCGCTGGCTTTAGGATGGCTGTCAATCTCAAAAACACAATCAGGAGGCCCTGCATTGGACTGAGACCATCCCGTCAAACTAGGGATCCTTAAAGGGAACTGATGGGGTCCTAGGGTGGTAGCACCTCCTGGTTCCTAGCAAAAGCAAATACAAATAGTTTATGGAGGAAATTTGGGTCCTCAGAATTCCCACATATATGTTCAACGAAATGAGTTTGCAATAAAAATATATAAAACACACAAAGAAACAAGCTGTAGAGAGTGTGAGTTAGGAGAAACAATATACACAGATGCAGACCTCCAAGGATTTCAGATATTGAAAAAGTAGCTATTAAATAGCTAGATATATTTGAAAAAGGCCCAAACAAAATTTCATTTTAGAAATGGAAAAGCAATATCTGAATAGTGCCTGAGACTTTCCTAGAATTGATTAAAAAAATACGAATCCTAAAAGAAGACAGCACTTCTAACTAAGCAGGATAAATAAAAAGGAATCTAAGTCTAGACATATTGTAGTGAACCCGTAGAAAACAAAAGATATAGAAATGATCTTAAAATCAGCCAGTCAGAGAAGACATTACCTACAAGGGAATTACAATTAGACTAAAAGCAAATTTTTCTATAGGAATAGAAGCAAGACAGTGGTGGGACAGTATCTTCTACGGGCTGAAAGAAAATTATTGTTGATCAAGAACTGTGAACTCAAGCAAATTGTTTCCAAGAGAAGGCAAAATAAAGACATTTAAGTTAAACAAAAACTGAAAAAAGTTTTTGTAGAGTCCAGCCCTACAGGGTCCTGTGAGCCCCTCTCTACAGGTGTGGAGACGAAAAACTGTGGAAACAAAAGACACAAGACATCAAGAAAGAGAAAACCGAGTTTGGGCCCAGGGGTCCACTGCCAACTAAAGCATGGAGTCTCCCACAGGGTCTCCCACCCACAGGTTTTTACCAACAGACCCCCACTAACGCCACTTCTAAAGAGTATATTTCAGGTGGAGGGAAAATTATTGTAGAAAGAAAGTCTGAGAAATAAGAAAGAATGATAAAGAAGCTGGTAAACACGTAGAAAAATGTAAATAAACACTGTTATATAAGAAGAACAGTAATAATACTGTCTAATTTGTGGGTTTAACAAAAAGTCAACATTAAAATTTTGTACAAAATAGCAAATAATTTGAACTATCATTTTAAGGAGAATAAAGACACTAGACTGGTTAATTACAGAATTCATTAAATAACGGCCGGGCATGGTGGCTTCCACCTGTAATCTCAGCACTTTGGAGGGCCAAGGCAGGTGGATCACTTGAGGTCAGGAGTTCAAGAGCATCCTAGGTAACACGGTGAAACCCTGGCTCTACTATAAATACAAAAATTAGCCAGGAATGGAAGTGTGCATCTGTAATCCCAGCTATTTGGGAGGATGAGGCAGAAGAATTGTCTGGACCTGGGAGGTGGAGGTTGCAGTGAGCCAAGAATCATACCACTGCACTCCAGCCTGAACAAGAGAGCAAGATTTTGTCTCAAAAAAAAAAAAAAAAAAGTTAAGTAACGATTTCAGTGGTAACCACTAAGAGTAAAAAAGTAGGCCGGGCACGGTGGCTCAAGCCTGTAATCCCAGCACTTTGGGAGGCCGAGGCGGGTGGATCACGAGGTCAACTGATCGAGACCATCTGGGTCAATATGGTGAAACCCCGTGTCTACTAAAATTACAAAAAATTAGCTGGGCACGGTGGTGCGTGCCTGTAATCCCAGCTGCTCGGGAGGCTGAGGCAGGAGAATTGCCTGAACCCAGGAGGCGGAGATTGCAGTGAGCCAAGATCGCGCCATTGCACTCCAGCCTGGGTAACAAGAGCAAAACTCCGTCTCAAAAAAAGAAAAAAAAAAAGAGTAAAAAGTATAAAATTTCCAACCATCAGGAAGGAAAAAAAATAATCAGCCCCCATAACTATGTTATTTGTGGTTTATCAGACAGCATCAAGTAGCAGACCAGACTAAATTTATATTGAACATAACTTAATAGAATTCTCCCAAAGGAGGTAATTCTTCAGGTTTGAAGTGTGAACTAACTATATACACAGAAGAGGCATTTCACTCACCTTACGTGGTGGTGTGGATTTCCCAGAATCTAAGTCGAGATCTAGGTATTCCACCTGTTTGTCTCCTTTAGGCTTGACCATAGGGCTGCTTCCTCCATCAAGACTGTTACTACCAAAGAGATTCTGAAAGTATTAGACAAAAAAATCAATGGTCGTACATTCACCAGACATACCACTTATACTGTTTGACATCTACTGAAGCCTAAATATTTGCTTTCAAGAGGACATAGCCTAAAAACTTAAGCAAACTTTCAGGATAGAAAGAAAATAAGTAAACTGATTAAAGCCTAGTTTACAGCAAGCTAAACATGGTTTCAAAAGTTAAACTTCGTTCACACTAAGATTGAGATATCAACAGATAGTTAGCTATGATAGTCCAACTTGAAATTATTAAAACATATCTGTACTCAATTATGCTTTTACTCTACCAGATCTTTATACTCCTTGCTTTCAAATTAAACAAACTTTCCACATTTTATTTAAAGGCTTTCCCACTAAAATTTGTTTCCAGTAAATATGTTATCTATGGAAACATGACTCTATTGGCTAAGTCTATTTTGTTTCAATCATTTGGATATTTTTACCACTTAATTTCTTTAGTCTGATCTTTTCCTTCTTGAACTAGTGTTCAGTTCTATTATTGTTACCATTTGTGTCTACAAGGAAGTCTATTTGCTCTCGGTTTAATCTCCACTGGGAATAGCCTTTCTGTATTCTAGCCTTTCCCTAGTATTTTCCCAAAACAGTTTAGAGAAATTCTAAGATTCTAGAAGGTATTATAAGTGTTCTTTGAAATAACAAAGCAGTAGTGCTAGATTTTTTTTTTTTTTTTTTTTTTTTTGAGATGTAGTCTTGCTCTGTTGCATGGGCTGGAGTGCAGTGGCTTGATCTCAACTCACTGCAACCTCTGCCTCTTAGGCTCAATAAATTCTCCTGCCTCAGCCTCCCAAGTAACTGGGATTATGGGCACCTGCCACTGCAACAGGCTAATTTTTGTATTTTTAGTGGAGATGGGTTTCACCATGTTGGCCAGGCTGGTTTAAACCACTGACCTCAGGTGATCCGCCCACCTCAGCCTCCCAAAGTTCTGGGATTACAGGTGTAAGCCACTGCACCTGGCCTAGATTTTTAAAAAATTCTTTAAAAATTACGTAAAGTCATTTAACATATTTTTGTTGTTATTATAACAATATGTATACCTTTTGTTATGGTTTACCATCATTTGAATTTCAGGTGTCATATGAAGAATTCACTTGATAATGTGTGACTTTTGATCTAGACTTGTTTGTTAAATATTGCTATAATTCTCATATTTTTTTCTAAGGGAGAGTTGTATGGACTATGATGAGTCCTTGCAGTTGGCAGCATGAGGAGATAGAATTCACACTGTTGACTTTTCTATTGTACTTGGTAGATAGGTATATCCTCATGGGTCATTTTTGCTTTTTTCTTACACATAGAACCTAAGTAAGTACTTCAGAAATTCACCACAGGCCAGGTGCAATGGCTAATGCCTGCAATCCCAGCACTTTGGGAGGGCAAGGCAGGCATATCATTTAAGGTTAGCGGTTTGAGATCAGCCTGGGCAACATGGTGAAACCCTGTCTCTACTAAAAATGCAGAAATTAGTTGGGCACGGTGGTGCATACCTATAATCCCAGCTACTCAGGAGGCTGAGGCCGGAGAATCATTTGAACCCAGGAGGTAGAAGCTGCAGTGAGCTGAGATCATGCCACTGTACACCAGCCTGGGGGACAGCACAAGACTGTCTCCAAAGGGAAAAAAAAAAGAAATTTGCCACATGGTGTTTATTTTTATAATAGATATCTCTACTGGTGGCAAGTACAAGTACCTTTCTGGCTTTACGTCATTAGGTGTAAAAAAAGTATTTTGATTTCCTTTGATTTCTGATTGCAGTGATCTTACTTTTCATCTTTTCCCTTCATCTAACACCCATGACAAATCACACTTTTAAACTTTCCTATTATATGGCCTTTCCAACACTTGTATGGCTATTCACTATTTTAGGCAAAAAAGACACACTTTAGAACCTCAGAAAATACTATAATTACTTTACAATAAGAAGAGTTCACTCAACTACATAAAGTTGAAAATTGGTGACAATGTCTACTCTGACCCAGAATTTAGGATTTAGAGTTTTACTAGAGTCAACGTACTGTACCGAGGAAAACTAATTAACTTATATAATAATAATAGAATTCCACTCAAGTTGAAAAATAGTGAATACAGTGGTTTTGACTCTTTTTTTTTTTTTTTTTTTTTTGAGACAGAGTTTTGCTCTTGTTACCCATGCTGGAGTGCAATGGCACGATCTTGGCTCACCACAACCTCCGCCTCCTGGGTTCAGGCAATTCTCCTGCCTCAGCCTCCTGAGTAGCTGGGATTACAGGCACGCGCCACCATGCCCAGCTAATTTTTGTATTTTTAGTAGAGACGGGGTTTCACCATGTTGACCAGGATGGTCTCGATCTCTTGACCTTGTGATCCACCCACCTTGGCCTCCCAAAGTGCTGGGATTACAGGCGTAAGCCACCGCGCCCGGCCAAAAAGTAGTGAATACAAAAGCAAAAGTCAACTAATAAAAACTGCCCTGGCTTGAAAAATCAGTGAAAACATTATTGATATACTGATCATATTACTTGAGTACTTTATAAATTTGGTATATTATTAAAAAATTTGTATAGATGAGGTATCACTTACGTTGCCCAGGCTAGGTGTGAACTCCTAGGCTCAAGAGATCCTGATTCAGCTTCCTGAGTAGCTGGGACTACAGGCGCATGTCACTGTGCTTTGCTAACTTTGATAATATTTTAAAGTTAACTAATTTAAGCACAGAATCAAGTTTTTCATATCAGTTAATTATGTTTCCTGACAACATATAGTTGTAACAAACCTGGTTCTGCCTAAAGTCTATAAAGGATGAAAAACCAATTCATTGCTAGAATTGGGCTTTATATTTTATACCTCTAAATAGCGCTGTTTTAAATAATATAGGGCCACTAAAGTGTTAACTCATTCCAAATTTTGACATTAGGTATTTGCTCATCCTGGTAGATATGGCCTGACTGTCCCTCAATACCTGCTCTGCTCTCCCCACTCCCACATGCATGGGATTGTTAGGTGGGCCCACTGTTCCTCGGATCTAAGACTCTGTTTTCCAGCTCCTTTGTGTCTAAGTGTGGCCACACCAGCTAAGTTCTGGTTAATGTTTTGTATACAGTGGTTTCGAGGAACCATCCTTATGAGGCAGTTCTTTTTCTCCCTTTCCTCCACCTTGGAGTTGGAATGTGGCTCTGTTGGCTGGAGCATCATCTTGTCCAATGAGCATATGCACACACCCAAGGAAGGGATACTGGAGAGCTGGAAAAGGTCTGACTCCCCGAAGACTCCATGGAACAGAGCTGCCACAACACCTTGGATTGACTCTCTTTAGACTTTTCCATGAGAAGGAAAGAAAATTCTCTCGAGTCACAAATAAATACTTATTTTCTTTTACTCAGATGGGAACTTAATCCTAAAGGATATACTTATCTACTATAATACAAATAACAAAGCAAACATTAAATCTTACAAGGAAAATGTAAAGGAAAATATTTTTAAAAATTAAAATTGGTTTGTATTCTTAAATGTATGAAGTATTTTCTGGCAACTACCTGATTTCTGAGGAACAAAATGCTCACTACCATTAGAAAACTCTCATGCCTTATGGCAGTACAGCCAACCTGGAATATGTTACGTTTATAAGAGGTCTTCTTTAATCTTTACATCTATCTAAGGGTATACTTATTTATAAGACCATTTCACCATTAGAGGGCTGTGATATAGCCTTAGAGAACTGCATTATAAAATGCTGTATATTTTTCTGAAGAGTATAAATAATCAAGTATCTCTCAAATGACATACAACAGAAAACTTTATTTTTTTTCAAATTAGAGACAGGGTCACATGTTGCCCAGGCTAGCCTCAAACTGCTGGATTCAAGAACTCAAGTGATCCTCCCACATCAGTCTCCCAAACAGCTGAAACGACAGAGTTGTGCCACTGCGCTGGGCAATTTTTATTTTTTTAACTCATTTTTGGTATATATTCACCTTTTATTGGTTTTAGAGTTTATATTATTTTTAGTAAGCATTTAACAAAGTTTTATTGCTTTTTCTTAAGTATATAAAGAAAGATGTGAAGATAAAATTTATAGATGGAAAGAACAGTTCTAGCTTGAATGATTTAAAAGGGCTGCTCAGGGAGAAGTTAAGACTTTACATACTGGGTCTTCACTGGACAGGTTTGGGTTCATGGGAACATAATTCTCTTCACTGTCATGTGAGTCGCTGCTTGAAGTTGTGCTATGCACTGAATCCGGTCGGGGGGACATGGGAAACCTAGAAGAGCTAATTACAAAAATGATCATCACAAACATAAGACTTGACAAAAATATCTAAAATTATTCCCTAAATAAAAATGAAAGATAATCTGTGTTCTTTCAGAAATATTCCCTTATGTTTCTAATCACTCATTGTTCACATTTATGACATAATTTCTGTGCACAATCACATAACTAATATTTACAACTGTATTATAAAAGTATATTTTGGACAGCAAAGTATTTTGTGTAGAACAAACAAACTACTACCAGTGACTTGGTCAGAAGTAGAAAGCTTCTGATACAAAATGGAAGACTTAAGAATTTTGAGTTTTTAAAAAGCTATACACACATACACACACACACACACACACACACAAACATGATCATATGTTGAATATAAGTTTGTAACTCATAAATCCCTCTCATTTCCCTATATATATTTAAATAAGTTTCAATTCAATAATCCCCACAAGAGACTACCATATTTTCAAGATTAGTAGTCCCCAGAAATTTTTGGTTTCACAGACCTTTTAGAGTCTTAAAAATTATTGAGAATCCCCAAAAATTTTTGTTTACATGAGTTATATCTATTAATTTTGCCATCTTAGAAATGAAAATAGACACCTTTTAAAAACACAAGTAGTACACAAATATTCATTCTATTGGGTATCACAATGATATTATTACATAACATGTAGCCTCTGGAAAACTCTACTGTACACTCAGAAGGAGCATAAATACAGCAAATAACATCTTAATATATTAATGAAAATAGTTTTGACTTTACAGAACCCCCCAAAAGGGGGCTCTTCAGATGATCCATTGAGAACCACTATTCTAGATATTTTCCATGATAATGAACAATTCTAGATAGTCACATTATTCATACAAATTACGTATTTTAGACAAAGGACTTACTCTCGAGCAAAACTCCTAGTGATGGGAGATCTAACTGGGGCTTGTAATTCTTCCCATTCTGGCAAAGGTTTTATTTCTAAAGGTGCTGGCTTGGCTGAAAAGAAAAAGAGGAAAGGGATTTTTAGTGTACAGAACTTTGGAAAACAAACAAGATTCTCTCTAACTCTATTTATATTTGATAGCCAGAGTAAACCTAAGACCACCTAGTTTCACATATGAAATGAGGTTCATGAATGTTACATGATTTGCCCAAGGTTGCATAGCTAAGTAATTAGTGGTAAAAGCTGAATCAGATAACGTTTTCACGATTTTTATTTCAAAGCCTAAATCTCTATTACAACATGTTGCTTTTTAAGTAAATATTTTATGAATATAAACTTTTTATGAATATAAATGAGATGAAGAAAGAATGTGACCCAGTTCTTTTGTAGTTGCTTTATACGTTTCATTATTTCATAAATTATTTCACTAATTTCATACTCAAGGAAATTTAATCATCTATATAAAATCATTCCTATTCTTCAATATTGAAGCATATAACTATAAATATAAAATGATGCATAGAAACTATTAAAATTCTGTCAAAACCCTAAACCAAAAAAATGTTTGAATCTTTTAAAATAGTTCATGCCCAGTCTGGAAACAAACAAAACAAAACAATATTTATATCTTTAGATCCAAACTCTCTCCTGAGAAAAGGGCATAATTATCTTACTTCAAATTGTTAGTGTAATTTAACCAACAAATCTCTTGCTCAATATATACAATTAAGTAAATGCTAATATTTTTGTTAGTTCCATTTATAAGTGATCTTTACTTATCTCATTATTGCACTAGACAATTAAACCAATATATATACCACAGATTTCTTAGCCATTTTCTTAAAGTCAAGACTGAAATTTTTTTCAGACATTTATGGAGTGAGCAACAGAACTAAAACAATACTATTTAATACTAGATACTTTAGGAAACTATCTAAACATGTTAGGTAAATATTTCAGTAATGTTTCATTCTGCCACTCTTAACCAAAAATTTCATCTTTCCAAGTTTATTTATAGTCTTTGTCCATGTATGTTTGATTTTAATCAATTATGGCATATTACCATTAAACTATAAAATGGATGGTCATTTTAAAGGACCATACACATCGAAGCTCATAAGCAAGTATTTTTGTCAACTCACATATAATGAAGACCAAATTAACTTATTAAATTCAAGCTAAAACCATTATCCTTGTCTATATTCTTAAAATGGACACATACAGAATATTCTGCCAACTAAAAGTATTTCTTTAACTCTTATTGTTTTACTTTTTTGACATCCAAAGGCTAATAGCAGTTTAGCTGTCAATTTTTACATAATGGGACAATTAATCCATGGAAATGACTTTTTATTCTGTCTCAGAACAGAATACATATACAGAAATACAGAAGACAACAGAAACTCAGAAACAGTTCACAAATTTAAAGGATAAAGTGTTGTCTAAAAAGTTAAAAGAACAATGTACAAGTCTGAATATCACATATTATCATATATTTAACCTGCTGCTGTTAATGGCATAGTAAGTAGACTCTGTGTATTATGGGAAGCGCTCACTTTAGAATGCTGTTTTATTTACAACAGCAGTAGTACTTAAGGTTCTTCTCTCTTGATTTTTAGAAAAAACAAATTACAAAATAAATTCCCAATGCCCCATACAGCATGCGGTGCTAAAGTACATACCCTTTCTTCTTGTAGCAAAGTCACCTATGGTTTGTGAATCAGTTCGCTCTAAACCATGGGGTTTGAGTCTTAAAATTTTAGGACTTTGACCTAATTGGTAAAAAGAAGACTCTCTTAATATAATGTTATTTATTAATTGGAAAATGGATTCTGTAAAAAAGCAACAGAGCCCTGTGCAGAAATGTTACATCTCAAAAGCATGAACAAAAGTTTGTGGAGAATATTTCAGTCTTGCTACATAAAATTCATGCTCATGCCCAGCACAATGGAAAAGAGGAAGTTACATGCAACAATGTAAGAAGCAAGGAGGTATAAAAGATGGTAGGATCTTAGTGGGATAACCAGCCTGGTTAGTTATCTTCATTTGGGAGAACAGAGGGAAAATATGTGCCATGTTAGTTTTTCTTCTAACATGTCTTAGAAAACTGGATCAAATTAAAAAAATTGTAGAATACCCTAGTTAGATTTCAATTACCTCTTTCTTTTTTTTAAATATGATGTCTCACATGAAAGCATGAAGGCCTACCTCCTCCTTGTAATACTACTTTTCCAATTTGGTAGAGATGTTTTTAAAACCTTAATCTGACTATTCCTGTACCTCCTGACCAAGACTCTTCTAGAGAAGCAAGTGGCCACTACTGTATTTGCTAATCTAAAACCAAAACAAGACCAACATTTCTTTCCTCTGGATACTCACTGGTTGCCCAATGGCTTCATCTTGCAAGAATTAGATGTTTAGATTCTGGTTCTACTAATCAGAATCTAGCTTCAGTTTAATTAAGTATATGAAAGCATAAATTCAGTTACCATCATCTTCCTTTCATTAATGTCTGTCACATCAAATCACTGCTGAAAAGCCTCTGAAAGGCATATTTCCCATTAGAAGCCTGGACGTCAGAGTTGCAATATCAATCTGAATCAGTGACTTAGGCTACTCCATTATTGGTGGCACTAAATTTTCTTTTTTTTGAATTTACAAAGCTGAATTGACATCTATTAGGTGGCAGAATCAGAATTTGCTGGTTAAATGCTGATATCTAGCACTTACCTATCGAAATCTAAAACTCTTAAAATATAATTCTGTAGAGGTTATAAAAAATAAACATTTCCTAACCAATTTTCTGAGTTACACAATACATTGAGTTTATTCAGAAATGAGTCAGCCTGAGTTTAAAAGGTCAGTATGAATATTTTGGGCAAGATCTACTCCTTACCCCTAAAATTCCCCAATCCAGGGCCCATACCGGCAGGACACTTTTCTAAAGCAAGGAAAGATGACAACTTTTTAAACTCCCCCAAATAGTGTGCTACACTTCAAAAAAACTAAGACAGAGGGTAAGTCTTAGTATTAAAATAATATAATTATTTTGGAGTGAAAGGCCCTTACAAATCTAGTTTCTTCATTTTATGAATGAGATTCACCCAAAGAAAGAAGGCGTTACCTGATTTGCTCGGCTTACACTTTAATCGAAGGCAGTTAAGACTTCCTCTAGCCTGTCACCAGCTGGTTTGGCACTCTTGTTCTATATCACACTGTCTTACCTTTCCAGACCTTTAGGTACAGAGAGAATCTTAGGAAATTTAGCTGGATACCATGTTGGAGCTACTTGAAGTTCATTTTTGAGCTCTCCATTGAGAGCTTACAGCACTCTGTGCTACACAGGAACCCAGACAGAGAAAGGAATAAATGTGCTCATTACAACACTTATGTCTACAGATGATACTACTCTGAATTTACAGATGTGGCTTAGGGGGACATCTATGTGAATGCCACAGAGAACGGCCCCACCAGTGATGTCAGGTTTAAATACACAATGCTCTTAGAACTATTTTTGGTATGCTGGTCTTGACCAGTTATGTGTGATACACTCCTCCTTTTCTGAAAGATCTACTTTCATTAGCTCTTCAGCTTCCTCCTGATTTTTTTCACCATATTTATCTCCCAGTGGTCACTCTTTGCATTTCTCAGCTTTGCGCCCCCAGTATCTTATCTATGTTTGTGGTTAAATAATCAAGGTCACACGACTGCTAAATCTTACCTAGTTACGGTTTCTCACTTTTTCTCTAGTTCTGCCCTCCAACGGCCTGACAGGTCACCTCCAATTATTCCTCTGAAACTGAAACTGATTTTTTCTCCTCCAAATCAAGGCCATTTTTCACCTCCAATACTCTTAGCAATGACACCATTTCCTGTATCCTTAGGTACAAATTCTCACAGTTATATAGTCCACCCCCTTTGGCCATCTGTATTTGATCTCAAAATGCTAATGATTTCCCAATGTGACAACAAAAAGAGCTTTTAAAATGGTAAGGACTGAAATGGAAGGAGCAGGTAGTCAAGGTCAATGAGAAAGTTACCAGAGCCTGTGTGAATGCTGGTGTGATGACTACAGTCCAGAATGATCACGGCCTATGAAAAATTACACGGAGGCTCTTTTAAAACCTTTAGAGGAAGAAAAACAAGGCAAGAACAAACCTGTTTGGGAAGAAAAACTAATCATAACAGGTAAAAAAGAGAAACTCAATTTCTATCTTGCTTTAGTCTTCTCTAGCTAGGAGGATGATTTTCAAACTGAAAAGGACAGAAGAAATGACAGCAGCCATTAAAAAAAGAGCCATTATGTGAGAAAGGTGTGTGAAAGTTGATTATACAAATTGGGTCATTCTTGTTGCACCCAACTAAATCAGGGTTGAGGGCCAAGAGCAAAAAGCACCCTGGGCACAGAGCAACTGATCCGATAATTAACATTTCCACAAGCCCAGGTGCAGAAACAGTCTGCTGCAACCCTAAGACCAGTTTTACCTAGAAGCTGTTGAAATGACCTGCCATGACACTAAAATTGGTTTTACCTACTGCCATCATTCACCAATCAGAGCTTGCCAGTTCCCAAGAAATTCTCTAGTGCCAGCGAGCTTTCTTTCAAAGCAATACATAAGATTCCTATTTCTAATAAAACTCCCAATCTCCTCTTTGTTCTTTAGATATGACAAAGACCACTGGGTCTGTGTGTGTGTGTATCTCAAATTACAATTCTTACTTCCCAAATAAAATGTTAAAGATTCATGTCTACATTTTTTATTCTGACTTTAACAAGTGCAACATACTATCCAGCTATATTCAAGTTCTATTCAATCAATTACATTTCAAGATAGCAGTGATTTTACAAACGAGAACACAGACTATATATGATTTATCTGGGGAAGTTATGGAGAACACGGAGATGCCACAAGAATAAACTATGGATGCATTTCCATCATGTTCTCTTGAATTGTGCTCTGCTCTGGCTAGACCATTCTCTTCTCTATTTCTCATGTACATCTTTAAAAGTTCAGCCCTTTTCTACATCCTTTCGCTATTGATATCCACCACTGCTTTATCAATCAGTGACTAATTGCTTCACAAAGCTCAGGTCAGAATACATTCTCTAAGACTGCCCAGAGAAATTACATTTAATCACCAATAATGAACATTTACTTACATGTTCTTAGGATTAGATACTCTAAAACCTCCCAATAACCATGTAAGGAAGGTACAATTTAATAAAGATTTTAATTATTTTATTATCAAGCTTGCTGAGGCTTTTAGAAGTTAACTTGCCCAGACTCACAAAGATGATGACTGAGAGAGCCAGAATTTAAATCCTGTGAATCCAGAGAGAGGGTTCAGGTTCTTAGTCCCATATCCTTATTTCAAACCTAGAATCTTTATTATAGTTACTCTTAGAAGAGTATTTGCATTGTTTTGCTTTTATATACAGTAAGTTCTCGCAACTAAATTTTAAGTACTTCAAATACTAGAGACGTAAAATCTCTACATTTCTCTGAAGGGTTTACCTTCCTGACCAGTAATTTCTTGTTGGTTACAGTGAAAACATATAAAATGTAAGCGATTGTAATGATGAATACAATGTGGATTAAGTAATTTTCAAAGACGTCACATGCTCCAAGGAGACTCGTATTAGGCAAAGCAGCTGAATGAAATCAGTAAGCCTTTCACTCAAATGATTCTTCATCTCCATTACCTTTTTTCCAGGGTGGGTACTAAAAGGGTACTTCTTTTCTAGGGCATTCCTTGGTTTTCTTAATAGAACAATATGATATAATCATATTGAAATTTTAAAAATGCATTTATAAAATTTACATGTATTTTCTACTATGCATAACGTTTAAGGTTAATTTTAGGGCAAAAGCTGCAATGTGGAAATACGGCACTGAACTGTACTATGTCACTTAGGCATTTTGTTAGCTTAATTTCTCTATGCTTCCATACTCAACTTGACATTTACGTACCAGACAGAAATGAAAATCATACCCAAAGAATAGCCCTATATTACTTAATAGGAGAGAAAGGAGAAAAAAGTCTAAGGTGTACGTAGGTCTGTCTTAGCCTTTTCTTCTCCTTTACTGTCTGTATGCAATAGGCCAATGTTTTACTGATTGCTGAAGAAAAGTGTGAAAACAGATAATAAGAAATAAGAAGGCCGGGTGCGGTGACTCACGCCTATAATCCCAGCATTTTGGGAGGCCAAGGTGCGTGGATCACGAGGTCAGGAGTTCGAGACCAGGCTGACCAATATGGTGAAACCCTGTCTCTACTAAAAATATAAAAATTAGCCAGGTGTGGTGATATGCGCCTGTAGTCTCAGCTGCTCAGGAGGCTGAGGCAAGAAAATCGCTTGAACCTGGGAGGTGGAGGTTGCAGTGAGCCGAGATTGCGCCACTGCACTCCAGCCTGGGTGACAGAGCGAGATTCCATCTCAAAAATAAATAAATAAATAAAACAAGAATACTAAAGCAAAGGCAAAAATAAACCAACTTTGGTGATTCTCAAATGCTTAGAGTAAACAGAGAACTCATTTGTGCCTGAACCTTTAAGTCCAAGGCAGTTACAACTTGGCTTTTGCTAGACTTGGTTTGAAAAAAATAGTACAACATAATGGAAGAGCACTGCCTACTGGAGAAATTTCTATCTGTGCTTTAATCCTCAGGAGGATTGTTAATGTCAATCTCTTGATCGTGTGATCTGCTCCCTAATTTTGAGTACAATTAGAGATAGATATAATTTTACATTTTAAAATAAGAAAATACAT